TAAAGATGTTTTACAAAATACAAATAACCTAGATTATTGGGTCCTATACACACACTTTTTGTTTTATGTGCCATGAAATGACATAATGCATAATTGTATGTTTTGAAAATATAATACTGAAGTATTGAATCAATAGACCGAAAATCGAGGTTATTTGGACATGAGATATTATATTTAAAAAGATACTACCAAACCGACCATCAAACGCACTGCCCACAAAATCAGACACGTCCCCTCGAAAATGCAATCGAGGAATGTATAAGAACAATCCTCAACTGGAACGTACTCACCAAATCATTATATCCGGGAGCGCATTCCCGATGTCGTCAAACGGCCAACAGAATGCAACTCGGTGAGAAAATTTGTGATATGGAATTTTCACTGAAAACAACCCCGAATTTCACCATCTAACTGCGAAACACGTTCAGAAGCACTTTTGGTACACTTTCGATATAAATTTCTTTCGAAAAAACTTTTTTTTTGCAAAGATAGTTGCAAGTGAACCAACATCAACACCGATCGTGCCAAGCTCTTTCACGCACCTTGCAGCGCGTACATAAACTGAAATGAAACATTATCACTCGCGATGCCACAAATATCTGGTCCGAGAAAAAAAAAAAATCAAACAACGCAGAAAGCGCCAAATCTTCTGTGGACTAACCATCAACGCATTGAAGACAAAATACATGAAACGAAGAGGTTCTAGGGAAGACAATGTTAGCCTTCCACCTCGAGCTCAGATTGACGGTGACGAAATCGAGGTGGTCGATGAATTCGTGTATTTGGGCTCACTGGTGACCGCCGAAAATGATACCAGCAGAGAAATTCGAAGACGCATTATGGCAGGGAATCGTGCTTACTTTGGACTCCGGAGGACGCTCAGGTCAAATAAAATTCGCTGCCGCACGAAGTTGACTGTCTAAAAGACACTGATTAGACCGGTGGTCCTCTACGGCTACGAGACCTGGACTATGATCATGGAGGACCATGGTGTTTTCGAACGAAAGGTGTTGCGTACCACCTACGGTGGAGTGCAGATGGATGACGGAACGTTGAGGAGGCGAATGAACCACGAATTGCAACAGCACTGAGAGAACCATCCATCGTCGACATTGCAAAAAATGGGCGTCTATGGTGGGCTGGGCACGTCGTAAGAATGCCGCGCGACGACCCAGTGAAAATGGTTCTAGAAAGTAACCCAACAGGGCAAGGTGGATCGACCAAGTAGAAGGTGACCTGCGTACCCTTCGCAGACTACGAGGCTGGCGAACTGTGGCCATGGATCGAGTAGAGTGGAGACGACGTCTTCAGACAGCAGAGGCCTTAGCCTGATTGGTAAGGTAAGTAAGACTCTCTCGAACAGGTTAAGGCCAACATACGCCCCGAAATCACCCAAATTATACTGAAATGCTTCAAAGAATCATGGGAAATGCCGAAAAAAGGGCCGATCTGTGTACAGCAACTGGTGGTGGCCACTTGCCGGATTTTGTTTTTAAGAAGTGACCAAGTTAATTGTTAAAGGCCAAACTTACCGATAGTAAACGAATAGCAACAAAATTAGCGTATTTTACTCAGTTATCTAACAACAAATAAGGTACTACAAAAAAATCACCCGGTCCGATACTCAATTAACCTTTTTATTTCTTTTCCTACTCTTCATACTCCTGTATTAAGGGCCAAAAATGGTAGAACGGACCTTAAAATAGATTCACTTACGCTAAGTCCACGGATGTGGTAGAGGATTTCTTTCCAGAAGTAAGTACATACAACCAGAAAACAAATTAAACCATCGTGTGGAAGAACGTCCCTATAGATGGGGAGAAGAGCCCACCCTCTATCCACGAAATGTTAGCAACAGGAAGATGGCAATCCCACTCTCCTTATCCAAATCACTTCAATCGGGTGCCCTGATGGTCCGTCATGTACGCCGATATACATTTTTTTAAATAATTGATTGAGCAAGAAGCACCCAGGTGCAGTTTTTGCATTACTTGTAACAATTGCAAAAGTACTTAAAATTCTAAAGCTTCTCAAACTTGCGCTTTTTTGTTTGAAAGATTTTCGGTCATTGCCGATTAAACAATATTTACAAACTATTTACGTTTTTCTCTTTACTTCACATCTAAATTTGTATAACATTTTGTTACTCTGTCATAGTATTGCTATCAAACTACTTGAATCTGTATGAGATAGTGAGGACATTGCAGAATCCATGAGATTAAGATACAAGTATGGATGTTGTGGTACGTGGAGTCGCTGAATAGGTTGATTTTGGAGTTTTTTTTTTGTGTTTCGTCAGTTCATATCCAGCCACCAAACTAGGAAGATTAATTACTTCGCATCCTATTAATCTGTAGTGTTGTTGAATAAATGTATAGTATGTGGAGTTAGTAAAAGTTTTAATGTAGAGTGTAATAAATGTAGCATCCGTGAAATGAAGTAGTTTGAAGTAAAAATCTGTAAATGCTTCTGGAGTGCCTGGAAAATAGACATTTATATTCTGGAACACGTATACACTTACTGGGGAGCCTGCAGACTAATGGAAATTCTAAACCAACCGGAAACAGCAATACGATCACAGGAATCTCTGGTGGAACACTTAGTAAAGGTCACAACAGAAACCATTTTATATGATTTAAGAACAAGAAAGCATAAGATCAATTTTTAAATTACTTCTACAGCCTTGTTCCTTTCATGTTTGATTATAGTTTAATCAATCTTACCTTAAAAATTACTTGCCTACTTAAGCAGAACATTTCCTGCAAACCATAATCTTAGAAACAACTAATTTTACTCGTGACGGAATCCATCTTAGACCTATACGATGAGGCAAGGGGTATCCCACTCTAAACTTTATATTTCTCGTGATTTACTTATAAAGATCTGACTGATATATAAGATACCTATAAATACTTAAAAACTCTTAAGAAATACCTAGCAGTAGTATGCTTGCCTGGTTGATTGACGAATTTTTAATGTTTGTTTATTCTATGTTGTCAGAGATTGTATGTGTTAGACTGGATTTTGTGCATTTCCAGAGTTAAAATATTCAATGAGAATATTTCCAACTTCAGAGGAATAAGACGATTAGTATTTATTAGTAAGCCAAGCTAGACATAGAAATAAGCAATTTTTGTTTCAAACAATGAACAATGAATTATTGGGTTCTTAAATCTAACGCTACACATTTAGAAATAACAAATTTTACTAGTGACGGAATCTATCTTTGACATAAAAGATGAGACGTAAACAAACATGTCATGTAATCTTAAATGCTCCGAGACTGAAAAGTTCGTTGCTTGACAAAAATTACGTTTGATTAAGCGATGCACAGCTAAACATTCTGAATTTTGATTGTGATGTAAACATTCGTTCACGTAAACTTGTATTTCATTTCATGCAAAGGAGCAACTTGTAAGCAATGTAGTTTACAAAGATAGGCTTGTATTTACAATATGTGCAACTTTTCATGAAATGTCTCAGATCTCTGAAAAATTTATAATGTAAACTTACATGATATGTGACGCTCCATTTATGTGCATCATATTGAACAGAAATTTACACTACAAATTTAAAATTTACTCGAAGTGTGTATTTTGCGTCTGTTATGACTCAAATTAAGTCAAAATTGACGCTCGTATATGTCACTCTCAGAGCACCTAAATTTACATGAACTTTTCTAAGTGTGTACAATTCACTTCCAAAGCATAATGTGTAATATCGAGAATTGCACTAGCAAAGACTTGTTATGATCAAAATCGCATCATTATAAAAAGTATTTCAAAATACTAAAGTGATATTCAAAAATACTTTACTAGTATTAAGGCTAAAGATTAGGGTTGGATGTCTCTAGAGATGAGACGTAGCCCAAGCAAAGTCCGGCATGAAAACGATTGCAAATTGAAATCAAGTTTTGATATCAACATCAAACTGAAATCATAATTTGATTTCAGTTTACGCAATTCACAAATTTGATACCAAATTTTGTTATAATTTTTTTGTACATTTGTACTTGTTTTGTTGTCAACAGGAAAAATGAATACTAAATTGAGTTTTCAGTTTGCTCTCACTGATAGCAGAAATAGTTTTCAATGTGATGTCACAGGAAGATGTTTTTGCTCTAGATTTTGAAATTTTAACCGTCAAAACGACCAAAACGACAGCATCCTAAGTAATCATTATCAGCGAAATCACAACATCAAATTTAGATTTCAATTTGATCTCAGACTTTGCTCGGGAAACAAACATGTCATGTAAAATTAAGTGCTCCGAGACAGAAAAATTCGTTTGATTGAGCTGAATTTCGCGTCTGTTATGACTCTATTTTAGTGATTTAATAGGTTGTACGACTGATTGTAGGGAGATTTCTTTTCATTCTCTTCTATCTTTCTTCTTCATTCTTTTCTTTCTCAGTCTAGGGTAATCCAAACGGTCAATTATGCATTACTCGACGTTGAGGCCGTTTATTGTGACCCTTTTCAAGTATATACAATTGACCGGCCGAAACGTCGGGCAATGCATAACTGACCGTTTGGATTACCCTAGACTGAGAAAGCCATAATAAAGCAAACTCGATTTTAGGTCGAAATTGACGTTCACATATGTGTCAGTCCCAGAGCACCTAAATTTACACGAACTTTTGTAAGCGTGCGGGATGAAAATGAAAACTCAGGAAATTACCACACATCGCATGTATTTTTTGTCTTCTATAGAGGGCTTCGATCAATCAGGCCATCGTTCATGCAACCATTCTCAATTATCGGCAGGGGTTGGCTCGGTGAAATGTTGAAATGCTCAAGTAGCTTACAGAAACACGAAGACAAATGTGATGCACAATTGAGGTGACTTCGGTGAAATTGAATCAAAATGTCGATCATACCTTATTATCGTACATCTCAAACCTGCTATAAATGTGTGCGGATCATCGCTATCCATCATCAGTCAGTTAACAGCATCCAATCAGCCTGAACAAAAAAAAAATCTCAAACCGTGTGTCGAAAATGCAGAAGGTAAGAAAGCAAATCGCCGCAAACATTTCATTCTCATTTGGTGCATCATCGCTTTTCAATGATTTATTGCAGCTCATCATAGTTGTTACCTGTTTGGCTGCCATTGCCTTGGCGATGCCGTACAAGCCGGTTGCCAAACCAGAGTATGAAGAATCCAAGGATATCCATGCCCCCGCGCAGTACAAGTTCGAATACGGAGTCAAGGATGACCACACCGGGGACCATAAGAGCCAGTGGGAAGAACGAGATGGAGACCACGTGAAGGGACAGTACACCCTGGATGATGTCGAAGGTGGCCAACGTATCGTTGAGTACGAGTCCGATGGCCACGGTGGGATCAATATTCAATTTAAGACCGTTAGTGGACACGGGTCGGCTGCGAAGAACAATTTCTAACCATGTATTAGTGAGGAAGGATATGCCATTGGCATCCGTGTGAAGCTTTAGGACTGAATTACTTTAAGAGATGCGTTGAATTTATTTAAAATATTCCATTTGTGATACATGGTTAAACTATTAACAAATAATAAACCAAATTATGATGTTATTGTACCATGACAAACTCAACGTAAACACGTTTATTTGTCTTTGTTTCACTGCCTATAGGCATGCAGTTAGTCCCTGAACTGAACAGGATTCAAAATTATCTGGATAGACATGGATAATATAATTATCCGGATAGACAAATCCAGTGAATATAAATAAAAGGAGTCTATCCCTATCCAAATTATATCGCCTTTTAGGATAATATCCGGATAATTTGACTTGAAGTCGGCTTCTGGATTAAGGGGTAACACCTGTTGAGATCTCTAAAAAAAATTGTATTTTTTGTTATTTTTTTAAGCACATTATAGTAAATGTAATCACTGCGGATTTTCAATATGGGTATTTTCGAAGTCTGAGTGACATCTAAAGACCGGAAATAGCCATCTTGAAATTCAATATAGCGGCTTGCTTCCGGTTTTAGAAAGCATCAAATACCCTACAGTATGAGTATTTTCGGAACGAGGCCGACGCGTAGATGTCGAAAATTAATATCCGATGCCATTTTGAAATCCAAGATGGCAGCCATCGGGTTTGGAAAAGTATCATATACCCATAAATAAGCGTATTTTGGGGACGTGGACAACACAGATATCACAAATCGATGTCCGACACCATTTTTGAATCCAATATCGTGGCCATCAGGTTCAGAAAAAGGATCATATACCCTTCAATATGGGTATTTTGGGAACGGGGAAAACGCGTGAATGTCGAAAATCGATGTTGGATGCCATTTTGAAATACAATGTGGTTGTCATCATGTTCAGAAAAAGTGTCGTATACCCTACCATATAGGTTTTTTTTTTTCAGAACGGAGATGCCGAAATACGATATCTGATAATTTTGAATCCTAGATGATGGCTATCGGGTAGAGGTATGCACCGATTTAAAAATGGTCCGTGGTGAAGTATGAAATCATTATGATCGGCGGTGGCGTTACTGGCGTCAAGCCGACAGCACTTTTGAGTGGCAGTGGCAGCGGTGTGGTTTGACGTGACGTTATTGTTGAGCCCGATAATGTTTTAAGTATTGTTCGAAAGATTTCATCTCTGGTTCATCAATGAATTGTTTGTGTTGGTTGTAATTGTTGGAGAATTTCGTAATGCTAATGGTGAACGTAATGATGTCTATGTACAATAAACATTGCGATTCTGTTGACTTTACCATGTCCAAAACCAAATTAAAGCAATATTTCTGCACGTATCGATAGCTAGGAGAACTATGTATGCTACATACATATTGTACTGAGATAAACCGCTTAAATGCTTCCTACATATTGTACTGAGACAAAACTGAGTGAGTTTAAGTGAATTAGCGTTTAAGATAATCAATGTAACGAAAACGGTCTACAAACAAGATTGCTGAAAAAAAAATAATAAATAAAAAAAAATACTAGCGATTCTCAAATTTCTGTTTATTGCGACCCACTTTGAGGAGTCCTATAAGCTTGTGACTCATATATATTGAATTCAGATGTTGTAAAGCCAAAAAAAGCTTTCGAAAATGACCTTTAAATCTCGCTGGCATTGGTTGAAAATAATGTTCTTCGCCCAAATGCCACAATAACTAAAAAAGAGTCAGGTCGAAAGCCTCCATAATAAAGAAAACCTACCCTTACTTGAATTAAACTAGTAAAACTGGAAAAAAAGAAAATAAAATACCATTTAGTTTCTAGCCAAATTAGTCCTCAGAAGACTTAAAATGGGCAAGAATGGTCTGAAATCACAGGAGTAGTCATAAAAGAAGAAAGTAGTATTAAAACTAAAACTGGCATGAAGTTGAAGGGAGACGAACCAGCCCAGGGCTAAAAGTCTCCTTAATAAAGATATATAAAAAAATGAGTTGAAAAAATGGCCTCAAAATTTCCTGAAAACTCTCAAAATAATATGGAAAGCTCCAAAATAACTTCAAAATCGTTAAATCGTCAAAAATGGCCTCATAATTAGCCTAGAATTAACAAAACGGTCTAGATGCCAAAAAGGATGAAGTCAAAGTTAATCTTTTCAGACTGGCTTTATAATGTTGAAATAGTCTTGATATCTCCAAATTTACCAAAAACACCAAAGTTATTCTGACATTAAATAGAGCAGCCCTAAAACCACCAACAAGGTTAAAAAATCAACAAATTCAATTGAAATTCGTTATAGATTTGAGGACACCAACATATTTAAGGGAGTAAGATTCCGTTAAGATATTTAACCTAGTGGAAGAAATTTTCAACGCTTCTGACCTATTTGTCTGAATTTCTGTGAGTCACTCAAAGACGGCCACCGGTGGGTCGCAACCCAATAGATGAGAAACACTGGTGTATACCAAGTACTATTTCACAATATTACTAAGTTTAAAAATATATAGAAATATAAATATAGAATGTTATGAGACTATATTATTATTACCTGGCTGACTTCGAAAAGATGATTTTTAACATACATTGCGACTAATAAAATGGGAGCGGAAAACTCGTCCAACCTAACTCTCTTAGAGCAAAAAACACGAACTGATTTTGAACAGACTCAATACGGTTTACATGTGTATCATGGTGTGGAGCCCAAACTGCGGTACAGTACTCAAGAAGAGGCCTCACATATGCTACGTATTGTTTATTTATTTGTCGTCAATCAAATGTAGACCAGTTTAAGGTACAGGTCAAATCAAATGTTTCATATTGTTAATTATAACAAGACATCATTCTATTTAAAGGCGCGTTCTTGGCTGGTTTTTTGGTTGTTGATATAAAACATATGTCTGTTTCTTAAGAAACGAGTGGCAGCATACTAATTCAGATTTTCTAAAATCTATGTGGCATTCACTCTTTGTTCTACAACATCGTTTATAAAAGCTATCATTGCAAACTGCCTTCGCTTTTTAAGTGCATCCAAATTTATCAACATACATCGAGACTCATAAGATGGTAAGGGTAAACTCGTCCAGCCTAACTTTCTTAGAGCAAATAAAAGAAACTGTTTTTGAACCACGAGTATCTTGATATGGAGAACAGACTATACTATAGTACTCAAGGAGGGGCCTAGCGTATGCTAAGTATAATGTTTTGATTGTGTGTGGATCATTGAAATGAAAACTAAACCTTTTAATAAACCCTAGCATGTTGTTTGCCTTGTTGATAATGTTATTATAATGTTCAACCAAACTTAATTTTCATCTTACTGCGTCCTAGCAAGAAGTACGGTCGACTTGTTTCGCGCTCCGTTGTTTTGGAAGTTTTCTCGGTATTCGCTTGATATAAATTATCAGTTTTTTTCTTACTAAGTGACTCCTGGCATAGTTCCCGGTAAATTGATCGAAAAGTGAGTTTTTTTTTAGTAGAAAGTGTCATTTTCGGAAAGATTAATCCGTGCTATTGGAAATTCGCAAACAAATTTGGGCATCATCGTTGCGTGGTCACGCATACGCGCTTACGCATACCCGCTCACGTATCATCATCATCGAGTGTGAGCACCCGTTTCTACATCTACATCGTTCATCAATCATCGTGCGCCTGTGTGCGCTGAGTACCGAGCCTCGATCAAGTGCACCACAACGAAGGTCATTCACGCAGCGTGTCTCTTCCAGCCATATGTGTAAACGCCTACACATATAACGCTCGGTGGTAGTAGTATAGAATTATCAGATAAGTTTTTGTTTTTTTTTGTTTCTTTTCCTCCCCCATTAGTTAAATTTTCATTTTGTATTTCTGTGTTTGTAGTGTTTTCTGTGTATTGTGTCTGTGCGTTCAGTGGGAGAGCGTTTTGCGCTCCCACTAGTTTAACAAAATGGATGTTTTGTCAGAAGACGACATGGATGACCATTCATCTAAGAAAAATGATGATGTCATCCCTGGTTCGTCGTCTCAGTCTGTCAATGGGCAGGATGAGAAAAGCACCAGATTGCGGGCCTACCCGAATGACTCGACTGGCCCATGGGTTGTCTATTTTCAGCTCAAAAACAAACCCTTGAATGTTGTTCAGATATCTGATGATCTGACAAAGCGATTCTCTGCCGTGACCGAAATAACGAAGGTTAGGCACAACAAACTTCGTGTGACCGTCGCTAACCTGAAACAGGCCAATGAAATTGCTGTTTCCCAGTTTTTCACACTGGAATATAGGGTGTACATTCCAGCCTCTGATGTGGAGATCGAAGGCGTGGTCACTGAGGCGAGCCTGAACCCCGAGATACTGGAGAAGCAAGCGGTTGGCCGATTCAAGAACCCCTTGCTTCCTCCGGTAAAGATACTGGCCGTTCATAGAATGAAGTCAGTATCGCTCAGCGAGGGTAAAAAGAGTTATATCCCCACAGACTCGTTTCGGGTGACCTTTGCTGGATCTGCCCTTCCTCAATGTACCTCGGGTCATGAACTGCCAGAATTGTAAGCGGTTGGGACATACGGCCTCTCACTGCGGCAACAAGGCACGCTGCTCCACATGCGGGGAGAAGCATGAGGATGGCGCCTGCGCAGCTACTGCACCAAAATGCGTGTACTGCAACGGAACTCCTCCTCATGCTCTCTCGTCGTGCCCGGCGTACAAACAGCTCGGGGACAAAATGAAACGCTCCCTTAAGGAACGTTCCAGGCGGTCTTTTGCAGAAATGCTTAAGACAGCCACGCCATCGACCACTGACAAAAATCCCTTTTCTCTTTTGTCAGATGACGAGACTGACTCTGACTTGGCTGAGGAGGGAACTTCTTTCAGTTTTCCGGAAGGTTCTGCACGGAAACGAAAGCGCATCCGTTCGCGGATTGTTGCAAATAAAGAACCCCAAATCAGCTTGCCCAAATCAAGGAGTGGTGGAAAAAAGGAGACTTCTACTCCTCCTGGATTCCGCAGAACTGACTATACCCAGGATTTTCCACC